AATACATATATATATATATATATATATATGTATGTATGTCTCATTTTCAAGACCTATTCTACTTACCAGTTCCAGTCTTTGTGGAAGTAGAGTTTAAAATGTGCTAGGAGGCATAAGTACCAATGTAAAAATGTTCATACATAAAGTAAATATAGCTAAACAGTTAAGAGTAATCAATAGGCAGTAGCAGTAAGTAGCCTTGCAAGGCCAATTTGGCCATGTCCACATAGTGTGATTGGTAATCTGATACAGGACTGTAACCATTGGCAATCGGCATGCTGACTGTTGAAATGTATGTTATATATAAATATGAGAATGTTATAAGAAACAATGTTAATATTTGTAATATCCATCCCATGGTCGATCCCCTGCCTTTGCCCCAATTCAGGATGTCGGACGCAGGTTCAGGCGACCCTGGTGGTCGTGTGCCGACTCCTGGAGGGAGCGGTAACAAAGGACTCCTGATGAGCCGTCGCCCGTCAGCTGGCATCTCTCCTGGCCGCCTCCCCACGATGCGATCCAGAGACCTCACATTAGGAGGAGTGAAGAAGGTCTGACATGCCTCTGTTTCACTAACTCACTCGCTTCATTTAACAACAACAACAACAAAAAAAGCGCAAATGGATACTTTAAATGAATACATTTGTTGTCTCATCTCTTGCATTTATCGTTCTTCTTTTTACTCTTTAGAAAACGTTTACACCCAACATTATTGGCCGAAAAGTTAAAGAAGAGTAAGTTCCCGAAGCGCTAAATAAATAAAGTGCAGATATCCAAAGCCAGCTGTTTCTTTGACTGTTATTTTCTCACACTAGAACAAAAGTTGAAGATGGGCAGAGGAGAGAGAGGAAGGAAACGGATCGAGGTCGGGGTCCCAGAATGAGAGGCAGGGGCCGAGGCCATCAAGAGCTCATCCAGTCGCACTCCATTTTTGAACAGGGGCCCGGAGACATGATGATGAAAAAGAGAGGTGGGAGACCCGGTGCTCCTCACGCATCGTTTACGTGTGTGTCTTACAGAGTCTCTATCGCACCAGCATAATTCTGTGTCACCCACACACACAGGCGGCTATGAAAGCGAGAGAGACGCTCCAAGCATGGGACCCTCGCCCATCATTAATATCAAAAAGGAAAAGCGTGAGACCGAGGAGGAGACCAAAGAGATCCTGCGCAAGCTGGAACAAGACAACGTGAGTCTCTTGGTTTTCACTCGTCTTTGTTTGCGTAACTAAATACGTACAATTTCATTTATATAGCACCTTTAGAATAAGACCTAAGGGACTTGCTTGGGTCATATAGCTGTAAAACATTCACTGATGTAACCTGGTTCTAGTCCATGATGAGCTCTAGTCAGAACGACAATTTTGAAATGGGCTCAGAGTTCAGCGGGGAGCCGGTGCAGCTGGATCAACAACGGTTTAAATGTATTTAGAAGATTTAGTCAGAATCCTCGCTGCAGGTTTTTGAACAACCTGCAGATGTTCTATGGAGTTTTTGCTTAGACAAGTAAAGGATTATATCTTTTTCCCAATGCTTATTGTGTTCTTTTAGTTTGTGGATGATCCCTTCCTGCGGAGTGAGAAGAGGAGCTGCCCTGTCCAGCTCCCCCTCGCTGTGTCAGGATGGGGATTCAAGGATGAATTTAGTGACGCTTCTATTAAAAATGAGAAGAAAGAGGAGGATTGTGAACCAATGGAGCCTGCAGCTGAAGGTAAATGTTTGTACCTGCGTTTGACTCAGAACTTGTTTAATTTCCTTTGCAGCATCATGAAATTAATCGTAACTTTGTCTTCAGTGAAACAAGAGCCAGAGGAAATTGAAATAAAGAAGCCCGAGGCAACTTGCAGGCCTCCTCCTCTCCCCGAGCCTGAAGTACTCCCTGACCTGTTGCACAGATGGAGTCTGAGCAAAGCGGAGGAGCTTTTCTTCATTCAGCTACCAGACTCGCTGCCCGGCCAGCCTCCCACAAAAGAGCACAAGCCGGTGAAAACAGAGGTGCAGTCAGAGGATGGGCAGTCTGTGCTCCTGAAAACAGAATCAGAGGTAAGCATACAGCTGGGGTCCAAGTTTAAGTCCACGATGTCGTCGTGTTCTTCTGAGTAGGTGGTGTTTTTATACCAAACAGGAGGAGAAAGCTGAGGACAACAGCTGCAATCTGAAGGATCTGCGGGAGGGTGTTGTGGGAAAGATGCTGGTACGCAAGTCTGGCCGAGTGCAGCTCATACTGGGGCAGGTGACGCTCGATGTGTCTCTAGGAACATCCTGCTCTTTCCTGCAGGTACAACACAAATTTATTTCTTTGAGGATTTTTTATGTCTTTTTCTGAGTAATGTATTTATTTCCATCTTCCAACATCCTCCTCCGATCTGTTGTATTTGCACGATAAAAACATTTCTGACGCGCTTTTCTTTCCATCCCTTCTATTCACAGGAACTTGTCTCTATCAATACAGAGGGGAAAACGGGTAACTTGACTGTATTAGGGAACGTCAAACACAAAATGGTTTGCTCACCGGACTTTGAAGCTCTGCTGGAGAGCAGTTCTTGATGCTCATCAGAGGAGCAGGCGACTGATCCTCCTCAAGTCCGATGGACACCTGCGGAGAAGTTGACAAAAGGCTAGATACTACAAGGCTGCTGCACCCGTAAGGCTTACAAGTAGAGAGGTAGCTGGCTGAGATTTTGTGTTTACAGAGTGGTTATAAAACACTATCTATAATTAGGAAACAAAAGTTTTATTTTCTCTCATTCATAGAGTTTATTAATTCATGGTTGTAAGCTTGAATGACGTGCCAAGTATCAGTACCATTTTTCCTTCTCTGTATCTGAAATTACTTGAAAAGACTTTACATGGATGTAAATGTGTGAATAAAAAGGGTCTGTTTTTGTTATCAAAGTATTTTCAATTGTTTAAAAGTTGGTTTGTGGAAATTACAAAAATAATTACTTTATTTTTGTAGATAAATATATATATATATTTAAAAAAACATAAACAACAAAGGCTTTATTTTTTGTTTTGGGGGAATTTGCTATTACGTGAAGAGTAATATTAGAAAAGGTGTATTAATTCTATCATTCTGATGCAGTACAAATGGCAGGTTTGTACTAATATTTCCTATTTTGTTTAGTTGTGGTCAAAAAAATTTAAATACAGTATGACAGTTTTAAATATAGTGCAGAAATTCTCAACAGGACTGAGCTTGGGGCTTTGGGAAGGCCATTCAAGAAACTTAATGTTAGCCTGCTTTATCTAATCCAAAACCAGGTTTGATGTGTTTTGGGTCATTGTCTTGTTCTTGGTTGGCATCCAGCAGTTTCCCGTTCATGGCAGGCTTGAGCTTTGGTGATTCCTGGGTTGTTCTAACAATTTACTCTCATCTAAGGGTGATAGTTTGACCTCTTTTTAGACCTTAAAAAGTAGTGAGACATCTGAATAACTTTTATTTAAGGACAGCTGGTTAAACTGATGATCTTAGAATTTGCAGTGTTTAGAAATGGCTCAGGGAGGTCTTGACAACTTGTGTAAATCTACAATTCTCCTTTTTTGGTCTTCACTGAGTTCCTTTGTTTTCTCGTTGTTCTGAGTGGTGGTCCAATGAGTGTTGTCAAACATCCATATGCTAGCAAAAGAAACTAGCAGTTAAAGTTAATAGGTCGTGAACTTGTCAAGTTAAAAGACATTGTAGAACCTTGAACACCATGTATTAAAAGATTTAAGAAAGTGGATGCATACTTTTGAGCCTGCTTGGACTGGAAAAAAAATCCAAAATAACTCCTTCCATCCTGAGAAAAAAGAACGGTTTAAAGAAATCTTTAAAGCCCCAAATTATCATGATATTCCTACCCATGGTTAGTGGATGTAAACCTCTGACCACAAGCGCGTGTGGCAAAGTTGCTCTATAGCGCCACTAGTGGTTAGAAAAAATTAAATCCCAATAAAGTATTCAACTGTAATAGCGTACATGTACCACCAGAGGTCAGCACCGCTCGGTGGGGTGGGGGGGTTTCGGCAGGAGTTGGTCGTTTCAGTGATCCTCGAGCCGCCAGCTGTACGCTTGTGCTGTCCGGCGGGTGGAGTTTGGCTGCAGTCCACAAGACAAAGACAAAGTGATGGGGGACGGAGCGCTGCTGTACCGGAGCCGGACTTAACGTGGCTGAAGGTTGGTTAACTGTGAAGCCTTTTAAGCCTCGTGTAGTTTTGTTGTTAGGATAATTACTGGAAACACACCAAGTCCTCGTACCGAATTCAAGCTGGTAACTGAAAGGCTGTCTTAGCGGAGCGTGAACTACAGGACAGCATCGTGGAGGACTGAGCTGAGCGCAAGCAGGCTAACGTTAGCAAAACGAGGCAATTCGCACAAGGAGGCAAATTTGAGCCTCACTGTTAGCTCAGAGGCGACAAGCTAACTTTATCCTTGGCTTCTTGTCATCAGTGTGCGTTCAGGAGTCTTTGAGTTTCGCAACCGAGTTCTTGCTTATATCGCTTTAATAGGGGGTTGAGAGGCGGCCAAATTGTCCTGGAAAGCGTCAATAGCCGTTAAATAATGCATGAGCCGCGCTAATCCAAAGTGTTTTGTTTTTTTTAATTGAGGACGGAGCCTGTCGTTAGCCGCCCGACTGCAGCATCAGCAGCTGGTACGAGAAGGGCCTCTAAGCTAACGTTATCGTTGCACCCCAGCCCATAACCGTAACATTTAAAGTTATCTGCTCCTTAGCAGAAAATAGGTGGGCGCTAACCTTATAAAGACCAGTGGTGTTTATTTATGTTCACGTTAGCATTAAGTTTGTACACCGGTATATGTAATATGTACTGAGCAGGCGCTGACACAAGGACACGTTGTCTGTCTTGCGTTATTAAATTTCACAGACAGCAATCCGACCAAAGAGGTTTTAGTACTGAGACACAGCTGGTCCTGACCATGTGTTTACATCTTTCCAGGCCTTTGTGACTCCTGCCGAGCTCCCGGATCTTCACCACACAAGAAAAACCACCTGCTGTACCCAGCTGTTTTTGTCCCAGTGTTTACATTGTTTCCGCCAGCGGGAGGCATTTCTCAAACCGCAGAAAACATCTGCAACAAGGGACAGGCAGTTTGTTAGCACACCTGCCTTAATCGTAACCCCCCTCCCCTCCTTTTCCCGGAACTCTTCTCAGCTCAGTTTCAGAATCCAGTTCGAGGTGAATCTACTGAAATACTTAACACTGCCCAAGAGGGCAACAACAAGGTGGTCTCCTGTTTTTGTAATGATTCGCATTTCAGTGCAAGGAGAAGCTCCATCCCCTAGTTATCTTGATGAAGACCTTTTTCTGACAAAAAGGTAAAGGCCACTTGGGGCCGGGAGGTGAAGACCTGCACCTCTTCTCACATCTGCTCAATCCTGGGATTTTACACTGTTTTTGAACTGAACTCATCCAACTTCAAAGATGGAACTCTTCTTCAATCCTTTTGATAACTTGGTGTGTATCCTGCTGGGCATCTCCTTCACCGTGTGGTTCACCCTGCTGCTGGTCTTCATTATTGTGCCTGCCATCTTTGGGGTGTCCTTTGGTATCCGGCGTCTTTACATGAAAACACTCTTAAAGGTCTTTGAGGTAAGAGCTTGCTTCCTCGTGACTCAAAGTTTATTGCAGTCTGATGTGCTGTGGCAATCATAAATGTTGCGGATAAAGGTGTGTTTGTGCTTTTGTACAGTTGACCGTTAAAACGATTGCTTCTGCTGCCAAGCACAATGGCAAGGACATAAAAGTTGCTAGCATTGTTCCTCAAATGTGTCATTAAAATTTTATCTTAGTTGTAAAAAGGAAATAAGTTGTAGAAAACAGCGATTGTTCACTGGCACGTCTCCAGCTTTATTTGTGCCTTTAACGACTGACCAGTAGGCATTGTCTGACTGATAGAGATCAACACCACAGCCACTTCCCTTGTTATTCAAGTTTAGAAAACAGTGCTTGTCAGTAAGTGTTGTCTCTGCTTACTGAATTGCTGTCGTTACTTTAAAGAAATGCATTTGAACTCCTAATAATGGCACAGTGCATCAGCTGCTCTGCCCAGTTGTGTCACTAGTAAAGCAGTCATTACTTTCCATCATGTACCTCTGAGAGCAGAACTTGTGCCAGAAATAAATGAACCACTGGAAGATAATCAGATGTTCTTAGCTCACGATTCAAGGAGCAGCAGTGAGATTTCCAGAACAGAACAGATACGACCGAGAGCGTGCAAGGTAGAGAATGAAGATGTAGCACATGGATTTGGTTCATTAGGTTTGATGGAAATAAAAACATGAAACCTGCCATGTTTGTGTATAGACAGTTTTAACAGAAAACCTAAAATGATACTTTGTTTTTGCAGTTACTTGTCTGAAGAATTTGCTTTACTGTTAACCAATGAGTGTATAAATGGCAATACTTCATAAGATATGTGCATGTAGCAGTTAGGACCTTTTCGCTCACATGCAGCTTGGGGGCTACATGCTGCAAAGCAGCTGCTTTATTTTGGTCCTCATCTTTTTACTAGAAGGAGCTGCTCTCTGTTTACTCCTGCAGTCACCACTGACAACTGCAGCTGCATTTTCATATGATGACTCGGTAAGACAACTTGTCACGACACAGTTTAAAGGTAGCTGTAAAAGAACAAAATAAAAAAGTGAAAAACCTTGGTTGACTAGTGTTGCTTGTATCAGATTTGACTAATGATGGCTTGTGTAGAGCCTTCATTACTAGAGTTAATGTTAATTGTTGCTGTAAAATAAAGTTATTTTTAGGAAATGTAATAAAACATCTTGGTTATCCAGCCTAAATAAAGGTGTTTAGGCTTTCTGTGATTTAGAGCCAAACGTTTGAAAGTTTGTGAGATGTCCAGCCACCAAGCGTTCTTGTTTGTACCAGTCCTTTTGACTAATTTGAGTTTTAGCAGACTTTCATGCCTTAATGTGTTTGAGTACTTACAAACATTCGGTTTTGTTCCAGTGTCAGTTGATTTTCTTATGATGTGATGCAGAAAACCCTCAAAGTTGCAAAAATTCTGCAGGCTGTAGGCACAGGTGAAACTGATCGAGCACAACCCGGTTACTCATTTCCTGATATCCCCCCCAAACACACACACACACAAACAAACATGTTGTTTTTCAGCTTGGGAGAACACTGCGTTCTTTGATGCACTTCATTTAGTTTTTATCACCTAGCACAGCATATGTAAATGACTAGATGTTTGCGTCATAGGAAATATTTTTGACATTTATTGCAGTATAATACATGTTAAACAGGGAGTAGTCTGCATTTTAGTGTTTCTGCAAGCACAGATAAGTCAGAAAAATTGGAGAAGTACTACACACGGAAATCCTTTTTTTTTTTTTTTTTTTTTTTTGAATAAGCAAACATTGGGTGTCTGAAGATAAGCACGATATACTTGAACAACACTGGGGAATTTTGCCATTTTTAATCATTTGTGCAAAAAGGAAAAACAATAGATGTAATATTTCTTTTTGTGGGGAAAGTTCATTCATATTGCCTCTTGAGCAGAAACGAGTATCGGATATTGGCTTGCTTAAAAATGTGACCATTTGTCCATATAAGATTCCTTCTGCTGCCAGATGTTTGACCTTTCTTTCATGTAATGTAATGTTGCAATGATGATTGAATGCAAGGCTGAAACCTGTCTTTAAAATAACAATTCTGCTGATAACCAGTGCGCACATGTTTTCATTTTAGATGCCTTTAGGCCAGGGTGTGGAGAATATTTGTGCACCTCTCTAGAATGAACTGGGTTTTTTTTTAAATTTCTCAAACATTTTTGCGTCTCTTTCTAATTGTAGATCCATTTCTTTCTTTGTTTCTTTCTAGTGGGCCACACTTAGGATAGAGAGAGGAGCAAAAGAAAAGAATCACCTCCTATACAAACCCTATTCAAATGGTAAGATCATTCTTGGAAATATTTGTTCAAAAGATGTATTTGTTTTAGAGGTGAGTATTTTTGACTTTCTGTCTGTCTGAACTATTCCAGCTATCATTGCCAAGGAGCCAACCTCCTTGGAGGAGGAGATCAAGGAGATCCGGCGGAGCGGCAGCAATAAAGACCTGGACTCAGCCACTGAGTTTGAGTTATCTGACATTTTCTATTTTGCCCGGCGAGGAGTGGAAAGCATCATGGATGATGAAGTGACCAAGCGGTTTACTGCTGAGGAGCTGAAGTCCTGGAATCTGCTGACCCGGAGCAACTACAACTTCCACTATATCAGCCTGAGGCTGACTGTCCTATGGGGGCTGGGCCTGCTGATCCGCTATGGTTTCCTGCTGCCTCTCAGGTATTAGCTGTACTTTGAAGAGTCACAGGCAAAAGCACAGTTGCTGCTTTTGAAATACCAAAAACATGGATACACACAATACATTAGCCCCTCCTGTATAACTAGGCACTGGTATAACCTTGTCACAAATGCTACTGCTAGCATAAAAATTTAGTTTGAATACTTTTCCATATTTTAGCTCGTCACAAACGCTCAACGACATGAGAAATATGTTACGTATGTAACATACTAATAATCTCCTTCCCTAGCATGTATGTTTGTATCTTTTGTCATGTAACTCTATCTAAATAGTCCAATAAAAAGTTGCAAATGTACCACCTGTAGGCCAAACCAGCCTCACAATCGATGCTTCCAGTAGGGATATTTCAGAAAGGTCGGGTACACCCTCGATAGGTCTTTAGGCCGTCACAGCATTAACGCACATGCAGATTAAGTGTTCGCATCTATGGGACGTCTAGATTCCAGCCCTTGGGTGTGTGGTTTGACTGTGTGATGCAGCAGTCCTGCCCAACTGAGCAATGATAGAACGCTTTTTTCTTGTATTAAGTTCTTCAGTTTTAACATACTGTCCCAGAGAATGTTACTAAAGTTTCACATTTATGTTTTAACCACATGCAAGTCTAACTGGTTACTCAGTTTTGTGTGGTTACTTGACATGCGAACTTGCTGTTACATAACTAAAGACGCCACATACAGAGATCCTCTACCAGCCTCATCTTAGAAAGGCACAGAGATGGTGACTCAGTGCTAAGTGTGGCTGGCTCATTTCCAGTCGCCAGTGGGGAGACAAATCAGGCCACCGCTGCACAGACACCCTCCTTTCTAGTCTCCTGTCAAGCCTAATAGATTCTCTCTTTCAGCCTTTGTCCAATTGAATATTGGCTTTGCTCATGACACTGTGAAACCTTCAGCTCTCTTATATTTTTCTTAATCCCCACACAATATAATCAGCACCTTTTCCAGCCCTGGATGATTGGTTCATCCAGATTAAGTCGACGTGTCGGCCAGCTTAACTGTCACCTAATATGTCCTTCTGCAGGTTCTGCAGTCTTGTCTGAGACAGTGGAGTGTAGAGGAGGGCATGATACTTTGAGTTTATGTCAAGAATCTTACACTACTGCTTTTTACATGAGCTCTTCTAAGTGAAAGCTTGTGGTTCAGAAGAAAGCTTTTTAAGTAATATATCTGCATGTTAATGTCCATACAAAGACTAATTAATTAAACCAAAACAACTACAGTGTTCTGTTGTAATGCTTCCTTATATATGCTTCTCTGAATTGTCCTGTCTCCCTCTATCAGGGTCACTCTTGCCTTCACTGGTGTAGGTCTGCTTGTGTTCCTCACCTCTGTTGTTGGGCTGCTGCCAAATGGAAGGTATAACTGATGGTTACGACTTTAACTCTTATCAAAAGTATCAGATCAGCCCTGCAGATGTGTTAATCCTGCTGTGTACTCTTTCCAGGATGAAGAATTTTCTGAGTGAGAAAGTCCATTTGATGTGCTACAGAATATGCGTCAGAGCTTTGACTGCCATTATAACCTACCATGACAGGTAAGGACCTACACTGTTTTCTTATATAACCACCAAGTCATGTGACTGTTTTATTCCATTGGTCAACCACTGGAAGTGTTTACTTGACATTGCTCATTTAATTGCATAATTTTCCTTTTTTTTTTTTTTGGATCAGTGTCCGTCATAGAGGACAGGATGATGGGTGGTGCATCTGCTGGTTGATTGCTTCACACAACTGCCCCAGTTTTTCTCTGTGCTTTCTCAACATTGTGGTTAATTTCCCAATTTTTTTTTCACTCTTGCTCTTTAATGGCATACACCCTGATAAGTTTTCATTAAAAATATTGATTGATGTGTCTGTTCGCACTCAATAAGAAATTGCATGAAGCCAAAGTTATAACAGTGCAAAAGTCTGTCCGAAAAGTGTAACAGTGCTGCTGGTGATTATTGACTTCGCTAAAAAAAAAATCAAATTACAATTAGATAGCGCTCAGAGCGATTTACTTTTTCATTGTCAAGGGGAAAACTATGTTTAACAAAAAGAGACCCCCAAAAATTGCATAATGTCAGCAGTCACTTTCAAAAATGCCACTGTAGATTTAATGCGTTTTGGGGTTATTTTAGGCTACGTTCACACTGCAGGCGAAAGCGCATCAAATACGACTTTTTTGACCCTATGCGACCCATATCCGATCATGGTATGACAGTGTGAACGGCACAAATGCGATATTTTCAAATCCGATCTGGGTCACTTTCATATGTGGTACTGAATCCAATACATATCTAATGTTTTAGAAAGTGACTGCTGTTTGAATGGTCATGTTGCATTAAATCAGTCTTTTATGTCACTGACACAAGACAGAAGCCAATTATCAGTGCCAGAGAAGACAAACGAGAAAGCATGGCGGCGGAAACTGGAGACGGAGCGAGTCAATGGACAAAAACTGAGGTTTTGGAGTTGATTAGCATATGGGGAGACAATTCTATTCAAGCTAAACGACTCCGTGTCCATATATACCTCTGCACGGAGGTTGCAGCCACTGCTCCAAACAAGGCCATTGTTAAAGCACGGGCTATCTTTTTTCTCAGTGTCCTTCTTCCTCTAATTTGTCAAAATTCTGTCAGTTACGACTGTGCAGAAATTAATAGACTGCTGCAACAACACCTGCTAGCTCTGTAGCTGCCATTTTTACTACCGTAAACGGAGCGCGTTGTGTGTGATGTCTTCTTTTGCGCGTGCGGGCCACTCTGAGGGCCGTGAACCGTTCACACTAGAGCGGTTTTGCGGTCACATTTTATTTGTAGTGTGAACAACCAGACAGAAAAATCGGATTTGATCAAAAAATCGGAATTGAGCATTAAGACCTGCAGTGTGAACGTAGCCTTTGACACTTTGGGCTAGAGCAGGACGATATGACCAAAAGTATTTATCACGATATACATTTGAAAATTTGCGATAATTATATATAAGATGATATAATTGACACTAGACAAAACACTTTACAACTTTATTAGTGCAAAACAAAAAAAACATCAATGTATTTTCACTTAAACAAGCAGCTGTTTTTTTTTTAGTTTTTTTTTTTTAGTGTGCATTAAAAGTTATATAAAAATGTAACAGTGCAAATGCAGATTCCTTGCTGACAGTTTAACCAAAATGCATTTCCAGTGGAAATTGGCCGACATATCCTCAGCATAACCATGTATAATATCTACAAAACTTAAAAAGAGGTTATAGACACACAATACGGTAATATTATGTTGAAGCACAGTACATATCACTCCACGAGGCTCCTGCGTACGACAGCCGTAATGCTCCGACAATCCATCAAGCGGTGCGGGTTCGTAGCTTAGCAAAGTCGTACTAAAACATTTGACTGATTTTCGAGCATCGTGTACATAAAATCGTTTCGAGGTCAGTAAACACAACCAGAATTCATACATAAGGCACACGGGATTATAAGGGGCACTGTCGATTTTCAGAAAAATCAAAGGATTGATTTTAAGTGTGCTGTATTTTCCAAAATATAACTTGGTAATAACGACGGCCCACTAGCATGCGCTACCAAAAGTAGTTTTTTGATGTGTATCTGACGGACGAAAGCTAAACCAGTTCCACACCACTGAAGTTGCAGCATTTTGACAAACTAATTCTGGTTCATCTGTTTCATTCATTCCACTTTCGCCCTTCTCATTCTCTGTCACCGCCATGCTTTTTCACAAAACAAAGGCACTGCACATGTGTTTTACCCATATTCTATTGCGGTATTTCATTTTGTTATCGCTGCCCAACATTATACCGGTATTACCGTGAACGGTATGATATGGCCCAGCCCTACTTTGGGCAATGAGGATGTCAAGATTTAAGCTTTGGTTTGAAGTTATCATAAACCTAGAAGGATACATTAATCCCAACCATGCAGCGGCTGCACCGCTTGTTCACATGGTCCCATCATTTTGCCGTTCAGAAACATAAGGCTCAGTTGACATCTTGTCCTGAGGGGAAAGGTGTCAGATTACATGATGACAGATGACTTATGTTCAGAGAGCAGAAGCCATGGTGTTAACAATGGAAATCTGTGCATATAGTGTGTGAGCATGAAAGGAAGGGTGTCTGTAGCCAGACTCAAGACTTTCTGAATTAATTTTCACCACAGCAGTTATTCTGATGCAAGATGAAGTACAGAAGTCAGCAACAGATGCTCACACAACCATTGTGAGCTCAACCAAACTTTCCAAGTTTTTACATATGACATGCTTGGAGCCAAGGAATGTGTTTCATGAACCATTACTGATTCAATTAGATTTGGGTTTGAGAGATTTATTAAGTGATGCAAGAAAGAATTTAAATATATATTTTTTTTTCGCAAGAACGTTGGAGGAACATAAAACGTGACAGAGGACTTTGATCAAAAGGGTTGCACATGCAACTGGATGTGGAAGAGGAAGTTATTACTCACATTGTGCACTCTCTAGCAGCTGGTGTTTTCTTGGCAGTGCCAAGTGTATTGGAGGCTTGAAGGAATTTGAAATAATCAGCTGACATTTTTAGTGATATTTGTTACGTTTCTGAAAGGAAATGTGACCTGATATGCTTTCACCTGCAGAACAATGGTGCTTTGTTGTTGAAATGAGAATATAAATTCAGATTCTGTTGAGAGATACGAGTAGAAGTCGAGTCAGTACTTGTTTGACATTTGTTGATTGGACTGATGCACATTAGGTGCACTTGTAGGTAAGCCAGAGCTGTAGCTTTGAGTCTGTTGGGCCTAGCCTGTTGTAACATGTATTCCTCCCCAGTCTGGTTCTAAAAATACTCAAGTGATACAGTAAGCAATGTTCTCTCCCTATTTAAGATGGAAACTCTATCTGTGGAATGTAGTCTTAGCTGTCAGATCCTCCATACTCAGGGGGTCGCACATTTCAACATGGACAGCATGGGTTGCTTTGTTTTCACCAGAGAAGAGGGTGGGAGGCACTGCACCAAATCATACCAAAATTTCTATTAAGCATGGTTTTGCATTTGATTTTAACAGTTGCTTACCCCCCACACTTCATAATCTTTATTAAGTCCCATCATAATTTAATTGTTGTTTCCCCCTTTTCTAGTGAGAATAAACCCAAAAATGGAGGCATCTGTGTCGCTAACCACACTTCACCAATTGATGTCATCATCCTGGCAAGCGATGGCTGTTATGCTATGGTAACTATACTGGCACAAAATGTAGAAAAGAACAAAACATTTACGTTGGTCACTTCTTCTACTGCAGGTATTTGTTGGAGTGGAAACTCTCCCAGAAATAGATCTGTTGCTATCTTTGTGTTTGTGTTGTTAGGTTGGACAAATCCATGGCGGCTTGATGGGGGTCATTCAGAGATCCATGGTCAAAGCTTGTCCACACATTTGGTTTGAACGCTCAGAAGTAAAAGACAGACATCTTGTGGCCAAAAGGTAGAATTACAGTCTGTGTTTAAAGATATTTTGTTTTGTACGTTTTTATGACGTTTTACCTTTTTAGAAATTATTCCATGGGTTGTTTTTGGATCATTCAAAGTAAAACTTCAAATTGGAATAAGTCTACTCAAATTTTTTGGTTTAATAGTCTTTAAAAAGTGATCTCTTTAGAAATCTTTTGCATTAACCTGCATACTTCTTTCACTACAGATTGAGCGACCATGTAGAAGATAAATCTAAACTGCCTATCCTCATTTTCCCAGAAGGTGAGCTCATATAGAAAATCATATAGTTATCTAACTGCAAGTTTCATTTTATCTGACATAAACCTTGTGTTTTATGAATTCTAATTTCAAGGTACCTGCATTAACAACACATCGGTTATGATGTTTAAGAAGGGCAGTTTTGAAATTGGTGCCACAGTCTACCCTGTGGCTATTAAGGTAACAGTTTTTGTTCTAGTTTTTAACTACAGTCTTGTCCACAGTAACACATGTACTGATTAATCATTTTGGTGTGTGCCTGAACCTCGTAGTATGATCCCCGCTTTGGAGATGCTTTCTGGAATAGCAGCAAGTTCGGGATGGTCAACTACCTTTTGCGTATGATGAGCAGCTGGGCCATCGTCTGCAGCGTGTGGTACCTTCCTCCCATGTCTAGAGAGGTGAGACTCAACTCGAGGCATCTCAACAAAGAGAAGCTTTGT